CGAGTAGGATGCCCCTGGAACGATGGGATTGAGAAACTTGCATTGTGTGTTGTTTTACCTGTGCCACGAGGCATGGCAAACCCTTCCCAAAGCACCCTCTGGCCAGCTGCAGGGTGGGATAGCTACCCACAGGGCACTGCTCTCTGTGTCAATGCAAGAGCTGCCAGTGTGGATGCATTCTGCCAACACAAGGAGCACAATGTAGACATACAACAGCAGTTATAATTAAAGCAGCTTAATTTTTGTTGACAAAACTTTGTAGCGGAGACGATTCCTGGACCACTGGAGTGAAATCTTGGCCCATTGAAGTCTATGGCAAAACTCCCCATGACTTCCCGTGGGCCAGGATTTCATCCCAGTTCCTACCAAGTTGGGGAAGGGAAAGGAAAGCCCAAAAAGAAGTTGTGCGTTGTGATGATGTTTGTGTGTGCGTGCGTGTGTGTGTGTGCATGTACACACGCATGCATGCATGCACAAAAGGGACAGGAAAACCCTGCAGCTCAGAGGAAGTGGTCAAATCAATCATTCAAAAACAAATGCATTTGTTCAATAATATTTTCTTTAGATTTGTTAATAAGTTAATAAAGCTGAGGGCTGGAATTTTGCTCTCATCTTTTCCTGGCCTCCTACGACGCCAGTAAGCTCATTAAATCCTATTTACACTGATCGTTTTTAGATTCATGCTTACTTTATGACTGAAAAAAGGAGGGGATGAAAATCTCCATCCAGCAAATGGCTGGCAGGGGATGAAAAAGAATATGCCTTGGGAAAAGAACACTGTTGCTCACAGAGACACACACCCCCACACAATCCAAGTTTCTCTTGATTCCAGAGCAATCAGCCACACTCCATACAGTTAAGATCCAAGTCTGCAACATGGAAAACAATGACAGCAGAAACAGCTCAGCAGATGTAAATTTATTACTAGAGCAGCAACAGCAAAGGAAAAAAAAATTCCTTGGAGCCTATGTTTGATTTGACTGCAGTGACCTCTCTCATTCCTCAAATAAAGCTTTTTCTTTCCGCAGATCACCATGTATGGCTGGCATTCCATGATTAGGAAGGCGTCGATAAATCAGTGACAGACAACCACGTGAGAACTTTAGCCTTCCCTGGAATCATGCTATGGAAAGTTCAGATTCGAGTACTCCTTCATTCCAAGCAGCAGACAAGGAGACTGGAGTTTGGGAAGGATGACGGGATGGTGGGGGGAAATTGTGCTGGTCAAGCAAAGGAGGGGTGGGAATAGCATTGGATGAGCTGAGGATGGTAAGGTAGTGGAGTTCTGAATGAGCCAAGAACTTGAGTGGTACTATATCTGAGGATTAATCCTGATAGAAAATGTTAATATTGTACAATGCTTTACACTTGGTTGGGATGTGATAGAAACAATGGGATTCCTGCCCTACAGAGCTTACAATCTAAAAGCATGTGGGAGAAGCAGACAGACTCTCTTTTCTCTCTCACCTTTCCCCAGGCCAGAAGCTGTCTGGGAGGATGTGTTTGTACAGTGCCAAGAGCAAGACAGGTCCTGATTTCCCCTGAGTCATGCAGGTGCTATGGTAACACAAATAACAATAAGAAGGGAGCTCAAACAAGCTGTGGGGCAGATGAAAATACATGGAATGCCCCAGAAATTTGGGAAGAGACATGGTGCTCGGTGGGCGAAGGGTTAGAGAGAATGACAACAAGGTTGTGTAATGTTACATAGCCACTTTCCCCTCTCAGTCACTCTTTCAAATCCAGACCAGATTAGTGGGGATCAGAGCTGGGCCCTTATACAAATAAAGAAGGCATCAGAAAATCAGGGATAGGAGCTCAGGGGAGTTAATGCATCCCCTTAAAGCGTATAGCAACTGGTATGTTCTCCTCTCACACTGGAGGTTGTATTGTCCTGAAGCACAGGACCACCAATGTAGCTGAGCATTCCCTCCCCCCACCCCCACAAGTAGGGCAGTAACTAACAGCCACCAGACAGCCGTGCTGAGCAAAGAGCTGGAGAAGGTGCGTTGGGGGATGAGGAGCCTGACATGGCTGCCCCATCTCTGATTTTTAGTGGTAAACATCAGAATCTTTCTCCGGCCCCTTTAGCAGAGTGGGACAAGTTACCCCTGGTGTAACTCCACTCAGGCAAGTGAGATTATGCCAGGAGTGAATTTGGCTGAGGGAGTTAACTGATCATGCAGCTTTTGGAAAGCACCAAGTAAAGCATGAGGCAGCGGGGACTGTGACAAAGGCTCTTTCCTGGACAGAGGTAGGAACAGGGCCAGATCAGCACTGTGGGCTTTTCTCTGAGGTGCCTCCCTGTCTGGGGCCCTGGGTGTGGGAGCCAGGGTAGGGCTTAGTGGATTTTTTTCCACGCTGTTTCTCCAAGATCCCTGACAGAGCCCATCAGGACAGCCTTTTATCAGCGCTGCACGCTTTAGTGAGTCTGTCATGACTCACACACAGTATGCTCCATGCTGGATTAATCCAGCCAGCTTTCATGCTCAGGATATGGCAACAGGAAGTGGGGCGGGGGAGAGAGAGAAAGAAATAGATACATGGGCTGACAAGGGCTGAAGAGATCAGAAACCCAAGCCCCTTTGTTTGTTGACGACAGGATCTCAGTTTTTAGGGTGATACGAAAAGGTGAATAAAAATAAACATAGGCCAATGAAAGGGGTAAAGAACAACAGGTACGTATGTCTACTACCACTTATTTGCAGATACTTGTTGCTTTCATGATTTATACATTTCAGGGTGTATTGAGCCATCTCTAGTGGGACTATGCAAGTGTATTTCAATTGCTACACCTTTACCATTATATCACCCTCTGGCGAGTCTGAGTTTGAGGGCTATGTAACATCTCCCAGAGCCCTCTGGGCTGCAAGGAGGTCATTTCTTAAGCCAAGCACCTCAAGGCAGGGGTGGGAGTGGATGTGGGCAGAATTCTCTCTCATTCTCTCTCTCAATTTCCACATAGATCTTTGTTTTTTTTCCATCAACTTGGGCTGCACCTGGATTTGAAAGAATTATTTAAAGGAGAAATTTCCTGCATTTTGCTAACATCTGTACAACTTACTGTATCTCTTCAGTTCTTAGTCCACTCCACACTAACTCCTCCTTCAAATCATTGGCTCACCCAGTATTAACCTCATTCCCAAAATCCTGGGTTCACTTAGCACTAAAAAGCTTTGGAGAACCCACCTATTCCTAAATCATAGCAGTTTCAGCAATCCCACCTCACTCTTTGTCTGATTGCCCAGCTCTTGTTTCAATAAACTGCTCTGCATGTGCCGAGCTGAAAAGTCAAGGAGCGATGTTGTGTCTTTGAATTTGAAGAACTTTGATTCATTAACTCAGTGTCCTGATAAAGATCTAGCAGTTTTCTCAAATGCATCCAGGCTGAGTGTTGGTGGCTGATGTGGACCTGGCTATGAACTTTTCAGAGCACTCTGTTCTTCCATCACTGGTGTCTCAAGAAAAACTTGGACGGATTGAATCAAGAATCTGTTAGCTATCTTCCAAACTCCCCATTTGGAGTTTAGATAGGATCTCACCAGGATTTTGCATCATTGTTGCAGATAAAGGTTACTGCAGAGCAGTTTTCCCCATGACTAAAAGATCCATTCTACCCAGAGGATAGGTAGGGCCAGATTTTCAAACACAGATGTACAAAAATGCATTTGCACTTTTAGCACATTTATGTTAGGAATGAAACTTTCTTTCTGTACATGCACTGCTTGAGCTGATACCTCCAGGGATTTATGAGCCTAAGTAGGATATGCACCCACTGATTGCTGTTAATACTTAGCACTTTATTTTTACCCCTTGCCCTACTGTAATTTCAAAGAGATGGACAGTAGAGATTAAACTGCCTTCTGACCCCCAAACACCCATCTTCCTGGGCAGGGTTGATGCATATGCTGTATTGAAAGCTGTCTTAAAATTGTCAGCTCTCACTTCATATGTTCAGGAATATTTCCTGGTTCTGTTTACAGGCTAGGCAACTCTGTCAGAAAGTATGCCCTCTGGGCCTAACAGTAGGAGTCTGCAGTAAGCTGAGGTGAGTTGCTAACCATCTCCACTTTAGGGAGCAGCCTGCTTTGTCTCACTCTTTTTGTTTCTTGTGGGGTGTCATTTCAGATTTTTAAGAAATAAAGAAGTGTTACATTGCAGCCTCCCAACAAGAGCATTTTTACATTTTTTAATCTAATTCTCTTGTGTGTGCTTGAACAGGCTAATGCACACTATCAGGGGTCAGCACTGATGCTGCCGTGCTGTATATTTTTGGGATAAAAGGCAGTCCCGAAAGGGCCTAGACAATTGCTGTGCACCTGCAACTCCAAATGAGTAACTCTCAAGATTAACCCCAACAGAAAATGTCACACGGCAGGGTTGTCAGTCCTGCATCTTTCACCTGGCCCAATTACTTCAAATTGACACACGAGATCAGAGAGTGGGATTCTTCTCTGCCTGGCACTTTGTGTGGTGATTTATACCTGTGCAAAATGAATGTGAAATACTGCCATCCCTTTTTAAACGTTCCATTTATAAAGATAGTATAAACTGGCTATTTAAGTGGAGCTTTGCTGATCATCTACGTACGCAGATGGTCTGACCCAACATTTTTTTTCTGATAAAACAGCTGTGGCATTCAAGATAGAAAAAAAAAACCCCATAATGCCATTTAGTCACATTAAGATGAGAAACCCCTATGCATCTTTCTCATACCTCACCAATTAGAGAAACACAGTCACAGTGCTGACAGTAGAATATTACCACCCAGATACTTTTCACTATTCATCCAATAGCTGATACATCAACAATTCATCCAAGACTCTGTGGCTATGTCTAGACTGGCATGATTTTCCACAAATGCTTTTAACGGAAAAGTTTTCTGTTAAAAGCATTTGTGGAAAAGAGCGTCTAGATTGGCACGGATGCTTTTTCGCAAAAGCACTTTTTGCGGAAAAGCGTCCATGCCAATCTAGACGCGCTTTTGCGCAAAAAAGCCCCGATCACCATTTTCACGATCGGGGCTTTTTTGCACAAAACAAATCTGAGCTGTCTACACTGGTCCTTTTGCGCAAAAGCTTTGCACAAAAGGACTTTTGCCCGAATGGGAGCAGCATAGTATTTCCACAAAAAGCACTGATTTCAGACAGCAGGAAGTCAGTGTTCTGGCAGAAATTCAAGCGGCCAGTGTAGACAGCTGGCAAGTTTTTCCGCAAAAGCAAATGCTTTTGCGGAAAAGCTTGCCAGTCTAGACACAGCCTATCAGATTAATTACTCCTGATCTGTGCTCCACAAAAATAGAATTTCCACCAATCGTTGTTAGGATCAGAACCATTAATAATGTAACAGAGTTGATCAACATAAGCCAATAGTTGTGTTCTGATTGGGTAGTTTTTTACACCTGTTTTCCCCAGGTGCAAGGCCTGAAATCCACAGAGTATGGAAGCATGTTCTTAATATTAAGCATGTGATTAAAATCTATTCCTCTTCAACAAAGCAGTTAAGAATATGCTTAAGCTTGTGCTTGAGTCCATCTGAAGGCAAGGGCACAAATTAAGCACATGCTTAAGTGTTTTGCTGAATTAGGGCCTAAATAACTATGTGTGTGTGACAGAGAGAGCACCAGGCAGGCAGGGCTTGGCTCGGCTCGGCTCGGCTCGGCTCAGCTCAGCTCCGCTCCGCTCCGCTCCCTGTGTGCTGATCTTCAGAGGATGTGAGTTGTTACATCTCCACCTATAGAGGTTTGGCTCTTCAGCACAGGCTGTAGCAACTCATGCTTTTAAGTCTGCTGGTCCAAGATGGTGGCTGCACAACAACTATGCAAAGTCGTAGAAAATCCGATCCAGTTAGGCTATAATTACACCCATGTACAGGAGATCATAATCTGTCTCAGGGAACTGTGGGTTTATATCAACATCAAGGATATCTGAATTCAGCTCTTTACCATGGCTAGCAGAATAGTGGATCATTGCAGTCTGGGAATCACAATCAAGGGAGCTATTCTGGTTTATACCAGTTAAGAACCCTAGGGTGAGGGTTTACCCTCCTCCCCCTATCTGTGCCACTTTTCTTAGGGGCACAAAAACAGTTTTATAGTCCCCGTGATCGTTACAAATGAAAACTCTCTCAGTTTAACGTTAATGCTGTCTATTAACTAAACCACCTTGCTTGGCATCTCACTGCACTTTGCCCAGCTGGGTCACCCCATGTGTTCCGACGATTCCCTTTCGTTTTATTCCCCACGGGTTCTTTTTATTCCCTCCCTTCAGCATTGCGCCACTCAGCTCTGAAGCATGAGCTGCTGCTGCTGCTGCCACTTCTCCTTGGCACATGGAAATAGGCCCAGGTGTCAAAAGCTCTCTCAGTTGCATGTTACAGCCCTTCAGCTCCAACGTGAAAGGAAAGAAATATGGGGTGTGTGTGTGTGTATGTGTGTCTGTGTGAGAGAGAGGGGGGGGGGGGCTGCACTAATAACAGGGCCTACTTGTTAACTAAAAAATAGAGCCAGAACAGAGGAGACTGAGACCGGCAACAGCAGGAGCTGCTGGAATGGGGCTAGGGAGGTGGAGAAGGGGGCGGAGGTAGGGGGTGTCTCTCCACAACAGCCATCAATTATACAGGCGGGTTTTTGTTGCCGTTTTGTTTTGTGAGGTCTGAACTGAGGCTCAGCTGATGAGGGCGAGTTGTGTGTGTAGAGGCGGAGGGGGAAGAAGGGATTTTGCCCAATCCAGTGATTCTGAATGGAGACTTCAGGCTAAATTGAGGGGCCTGAGGCAGTGCAGGCCTGAAAAAGGATTCCCTGGGACTGTGCAGGGGAGAGGGGGATGGGGGGGTAAGAGGCTGGGGGGAAGGGAGTAGAATAGCACAATAATGGGAACGGGGAGGCCGGGCTGTGGAGCTCTCATTTCTAACAATGATTCCCATGTGGTTCTCTTTATCTCAGCCATTCAGGAGTCAATAGAAGGAGCTTTTTTATTTCAATGCGGAGTATGCAATCCTCCCCCCCTCCCAAGTATGCAATGTTTCACCCCTCCTGCAATAAAAAAGAGGGAGAGGGAGATTCTTAATGACATATATAAAAAAACCCACACAGCTTGAAAGAAGTGGGAGAGCAGTTCAGTCAACAAGTGTTTTCTTTGCTCTGACTTGCCCTGGATTCAGTGTGATCAGGTGGTACTGAATATAAGAGTGGCAGAGTTATTCCACCCCAGCTCCCCCTTCACAGACCAGAACTTGATTCTTCCTAGATGCCCTCTCTCTGCCCACACTTATCATCACCACACTCCTTACCTACCCCCCCTCCCTCCGCACCCACTTTATACACAAGCCTTGCTCCATTGGGGCCTGATTCTCCTCAGCCCTGCACCTATGGAAGCATTAGCCATCAGAATACTCCCCTCCCTCATTCTGGCAGTAATAATGTTCACTCCCTTTGCCAACTGGAAACTGCTCCAGGTGCACAGAACAGCAGCCTCTGGCTTTGATGGTTTTCTGCTGCTTTACATTGAGGGAAGTGACAGAAAAACCAGGTCCAACAGGCCCACAAAAGACTTCTCTCTCCATTACCTGGCTTTTGTGGAGGGGTCCTGGCTATTTTTTCTGGTGGATCTTTCTGAGAACTCTATCTATTGTGAGATGACAACTATTTGGAACAAACATATGGAAACAGTAGAATTTTAACATAGGAAAGGTGGTCCCCAGAGCATGGGCTGGGTGCTTATTCAATACATTTATACTGAAATACAGGGCTGGCCTTACCATGAGGCCGCCTCAGGTGCCCTGGGGCGCTCCACTAGGACCCAGAGAATTGAGACCTTTCAACGTTTTGGCCCAAGTGAGGGAGTATGGGGGCATCATTTGAGCTCCCCGACTCAGGTGCCAAAATGTTGTGGGCCGGCCTTGCTGAAATGGAATGGGTGGCTCAGACCCTTGGCTGGGTGTTCGTGGATTTATGCCAGCTGTGCATATACACGGAGAGAAGCTAACCCAGAAGGGACCATTGTGATCTGCTAATCTGACCCTTTGTATAACAGGCCTGAGCACCTCACCCAGAATTTTTGCAATAAGCCTATAACTCCTCTTTGAGCTACAGCATATATTTTTTGTGTGATGTCCAGTCTTAATGTTGAGACTATTAGGGATGCAGAATCCATCACAAGTTGCTCCAGTGGTTAATTACCTTCACTATTGATAATTTGTGCCTTGGTTTTACTCTGAACTTGTCTGGCTTCAGCTTCCAACTATTGGTATCTGTAATGC